AGGAGGCTAGGGTTTTTCAAAACCCTAACCCTAATTTCGATTAGGGTTCATGGAGGCTAGGGTTTTTCGAAAACCCTTTGATCCAAAACCCTAAAAATCGAAATTTTTTTTGGCCTTTGGGGTTTAATAGCTATAAACCCTAATTTGCAATTCAACCATTATAGCAATTCAATTTAAAACAAACAAGGCTTTGATACCACTGATGGGTTTTGGGTAAAACAAATAAACTAGAAAACAATTCCTAAGTTCACATGCAACCTACTTTAGATCTATGTTTTAACTATTGAACATATAACTTTGAATTGCAAAACAAGAACCCTAAGGAGAGAGGCTATTTTCGAAAATACCAATTAGGGTTTAAGAGTTACATACCTTTCAATTGTTATAGCGAACAATTGACAATCCTTTGATCTTGATCTTCTTGGAAGCCTAGCACCACAATTGTAATGCCTCTAATGGAATCACACCCAAGAGCTAGCAAGAAGGAAATTAGAAGGAGAGAGAGAGAGGGAGTATGTAATTTTTCGGCCCTAGGGTTTCACCAATGAAGGAGTGGGCGAATTCAGGAGCTGGGAGGCTCCTTATATAGCTGAGGGATCTAGGGTTTAGGGAAAACCCTAATACTCCTTTGCTTGGGGCCTAAGCTTATCCAAAGGCCTTATCTAAGCCCCTTGGACAAAATCATTAGGGTTTCCCCTATGAATTTCGTCCACCTCCTTCCAAGGAGGTTCTCGAGCCTTCCACTCAACTATTTGATAACTACAAACTAGTCCTTGCACTTTATAATTAATACTTTTAATCCCAAAATTAATTATGATTAATTTCTGGCTAACTATTAATTAAACATAGTGATTTCTAATTAATATATTAATCTTTTAACATATTAATAAATCATTTATATTAATTTATTAATCTTATAATAAATTAATATCTCTCCTTTCATAATTTTCTTGTCCAGTTGCTAGGTTTGAAGGCAACCCAAAAGGACTGTGTTGCTATCAATTCAAGTACATATCAATTATAGTTATGAGCTTAGACACTTAATCCAACATTAACTAATCCAACATAATAAATAATTTAAGTGATTTTCTATCACAATTAAACGGACTTTTCAATTGACATATATATATATATATATATATATATATATATATATATATATATATATATATATATATATATTTTGACAAATAATTCTCTAACACTTATTAAATAAACATTAAGTTAAGTTACAATATATATTTAAAAATATATCATTATTATATTTATTATGATAATTATACTGGTTTACTGATTTGTATAAACATGGATTATATTGGTGTTAGATAACAGAAAAATTGATAAAAATATATTTTGATAATAGAAATTCCAAAAACTTGTCAAACATATCAAATGTCAAGAGTTAGTTCATCTACTATACAAGTTTGGAACATGATGTGAAATGGTAATTGTATAAGTGTTCATTTGTATTTTATCGTTATTATAGTTTTCATAAATTGTTTTCAAACATATTATGATTAAGAAACAATTTTATATATTAATTAAAATAACAATAATTGACTTACAAACAAAATATCAATGTTGTATAAAAATAATTTTTTTATAAATTTATGATTAATAATTATGATTTTTTATAGTTTCTATGTTATTTTATAATGTATATCTTAATTTTAACTGATCATTTATAAATTTATAGATAAAAGATTTATCTTTGTAAATCAATATATTTTTGCAAATCTTTGATTAGTATTACAATTTGAAATAATCAATAGTGTTTTTTTCTCAGACCATCGTTTCCATGGATATTAACCTAGTATATATATATATATATATATATATATATATATATATATATATATATATATATATAAAAGTTATTGTGTTCTAACTATCTATTGTGTAGATGTAGGATTGATTGTGTGTTATGGAAATTGTTATGAATGCTCCATGGTAACTAAGGTCAATTTATGTAAAATAACCCTAAGAAAAATGAATTATACATAATTATATCTATACATTTAATTTTTAGTGGTGAAGTTTCTTTTAAAGAATATTGATTATATTAATTAGTGTTACTTTATTTTGCAAACGAATCCATAAATTCTAAATGTAGGCACTTTTTTTTCTCATGGACATTCACAAAGCCACATAGCCCACAACACAAAGAATAATGATTGAATGAGGTCCAACAACCCAAACACATATGGCCCACAGGTTAAACGCTATATAAATTAATATTTGTATTTAAATCGTTTTGTTTGAATTAAAAGTTAAACGTTTGTATTATTAAAAAAAAAAGTGAGTTTTTATTATGTTTTATTTATTAAATAATACTATCGTACAATGTTTTGATTTACGTTTTATAAATTAATTTGTATTTTTAATTCAAATTTGCATTTTCCTTTAAAAATTAAGCATCAATAATCTCGAACACTTCATTAATAATTGTCTCACATAACATACCGTAAGAAAATCTAAAGAAACCAATCATAAGTACTGAATGTGTATGAAAACAATAAGAACTTATTTTGCAACAAAAAAAATATTAATGAGTAAATGTGCAAAAAATATTAAAGACTAAATGTATACAAAATGATAAATATATTACCCAATTAAGTTATTTTTTTTGGCGTGTCTGGAGTAGCCGGACATAAGGATTGAATGTGGACAGTAAAACAAGTTGAATGGGCAAATGTGGTCGGAAAAAAAACTCAGTAATCAAATGTGTACAAATCAAAAAATATATTATCATTTTATGTCATTATCCCTTCTCCGAGTATGAATCATTTTAGGTTCTATATCAACTTTTTTTTTTTTGAATTGTATTGATTTATTTCAACCTATTAAGAAATCAAACTTATAAACTGTTCACAACGACTAAATTTATAAAAATATATGTTTTGTACCATAATGATATTTAAAGAAATATTATTGGTTTTTAATGTCATTATACATATAGTAAAAATGTTAATAATAAATAAGGTAGCAATTTTGACCAATTTATCTAAAATATGAAATATTTGCTATATTTTATGCTGATATGTCAAACAAATTTATATAATACCTGTTAAAATTAAATACATCAAAGAGGTCGAATGTCATCCAAAATGTATTAAAAGCTTGCAAAGTTTTAAATATCGTGTTTGATATATAATTATTATTTTAATAAATACAATTGTATAATCTAGCATATTATATTTATAATTTTGTCTATTAAAACATTTCCCTTTGCAAATATAATTGATTATCATTATAATTTCCTTATGTATGTAGGTGTATTGTTGTGTACTAATTAAAAAAAAAAACGAATGAGAAACAATAAAATCTCACAAAACCGCATTCAAAGGTTTTTGAATGTTGAAAATATATTTGTTACTAAAACTTCAAATTGTCGATCATCCTGATCGTGTGAACTACGTAAATTAATTGTATTTTTTATTTTTATTTTTGTATTTTTACTCTGTTTGAGAAATTGTTTATCAAGTTGTTGAAGTACTTAAATCCTAACAAAAGTTAATTCCACCATCAATGTCTTAATCAACAAGCAGTGGCAGACGTAGACTGTTTTAATAGGGGTGTCCTTCGTACTTCAAGCCGGTGCACCTAATAGATAAAACAATTTTTTTTACACTAGGTGCCGGAAATTGAGCAGTGGCCCGGGACCCCCAATGCTCCACTAAGGTCCGCCACTGTCAACAAGTTATAATGACAATCTCAAAAATAAAACTTTGTTAAAAATTTGGATACTATTTTATTTTAGTAAGATCCTACGATTACGATCCAATCTTACGATCACGATTTTAAAAAAATATTAAAAGGATATTTGTAATATCATAACAATTTTGTCTATTAAATTCTATTTGATTAAAATGAGGAACTTATCTTTTAATTAAAAATCTACTCTATCGAAAATGAAGTTTTTATTTTAGAATAAAAAATGTTAATTTCAAAAAGATCTTACATTACATGTTCTTTTAAAAAGCCACAAAATTTTCCAATTAAAACCTTAACTCTAAAATTACATTTCAATGTGTTTTCAACTAATCCTTAACTCTAATATATTATGCTCAAGTGGCCGTTAATATTTGCATATTTGAAAAATGACGTGAACCAATGAATACAAAGGAATACATCAATATACCCACTAAACCACTCCATAAGAGTGGCTTTTAATCCCATGCACATAATATGTATCCGATGCATGCCAAATAATTAATTAAGCACTATAAAAGAAAATACAAGGAATCACTTGGAATGAGACTCAAATCCTGGTCCATGTCTTGGATACCATGTTATGCCACTTTTGATCTGCATCTTCTCAAAAAAAAAAAAATCATGCTAATAAAATAAAAATAATATCTTAACAAATTATATATAGATATTATTTTAACAAAGCAATTTAAATACATGTCATTTATGATTATTATATGATAAAATAAACTAAGAATTCAATATATGATAAACATTCAAATTTTAACCTTTAGTTGTACTAGTTTTATCAAACATTATACATACAACTAATCTAATACCAAAAATATGTTTTAAGGGAATGATATTATTTGAAGGGAATTGTTCAATGTTTTTCATATTACGACCCACACACGATTTTTCCATAAGAATGGAATGATCTGTTTGCTTCCCCTTTCTCTCGAAGATCGTTTACACTTACACGATATATTTGGTGCGTTGGGACCTTGAATCTAAGTTGACGACTTTTATTGGCGTTTCGCGCTTTGATAATCAAAGAGTTCTACCCGCTAAATTAAAGCATGTGTATTTCCGTATCAAACTCCTACTGTTCACTGCTCAAGCTCTGTTGTGAAACCCGTAACCAACTTCAAGCAAAGAAGCTCCATTGCTTTATAATTAAAACCATAGTAGATATCGAGACCTTTTTGCTCAATAATTTCATCAGCAGTTATAACAAATTGGGGAATATTACTTATGCACGCAAAGTGTTTGATCAAATTCCTCAACCAAATCTTTTTTCATGGAACACCATGCTTTCTGCTTATTCGAAATCAGGGAACCTATTAGAAATGGAAAAGATCTTTCATAGCATGCCGAAACGAGATGGTGTCTCATGGAACTCAGTTATTTCAGGTTACGCTAGTTTTGGTTCTTGTGATAAAGCATTAAAGGCGTATAAGTTGATGTTAAAAGAGGGAAAATCTGTGAATTTGAATAGGATTACATTTTCGACTATGCTCAGTTTATCCACAAACAACGGGTTTCTTGATTTGGGTAAACAGATTCATGCGCAGATAGTATCTCATGGGTTTCAGTCTTACGTATTTGTGGGTAGTCCATTGGTTGAAATGTACTCAAAAGCAGGTATTATAAATGATGCAAGACAAGTGTTCGATGAATTGCCTGAGAGAAATATCGTAATGTATAACACAATGATTATCAATCTTCTCCGTAGTGGCATGATTGAAGATTCAGAGCAATTATTTCATCTCACACCTGAAAAAGATTCAATCACTTGGACAACCATGATTACAGGGTTTACAGAAAACGGTTTATCCAAAAAAGCAATCGATATATTCAGAGAAATGAGAAAGCAAGGGCTCAGTATAGATCAGTTCACAATTGGAAGCATCTTGAAAGCTTGTGGAGGAACTCTGTCTCTAAAAGAAGGTTCCCAAATCCATGCATACATCATAAGAACTGACATCATGGACAATGTATACGTTGGAAGCTCCCTTGTTGACATGTATGTAAAATGTAAACATGTAAACTATGCAGAAACAGTATTCAGTAAAATGAAAGTCAAAAACATTGTTTCTTGGACTGCATTGATAGTGGGGTATGGGCAAAACGGTCATTGTGAAGAAGCAATAAGGTGTTGTTGTGAAATGCAAAGAAATGGAATACATTCAGATGACTTTACACTTGGAAGTGTCATAAGTTCATGTGGGAATCTTGCTAGTTTAGAAGAAGGTGAACAGTTTCATTGTCATGCAAGAGTTTCAGGTTTGATTTCTTTCATAACTGTTTCCAATTCACTTGTATCCTTCTATGGAAAATGTGGAACAATTGAGAAATCTAGACAGATGTTTAATGAAATGAAAGTCAAAGATGAGGTGTCATGGACTTCTTTGATTTCAGGGTATTCCCAATTCGGGGAAGCCAATAAAACAATCGATCTTTTTGAAAAAATGTTGACTAGTCAACTCAAGCCAGATGGAGTAACATTTATAGGTGTTCTTTCAGCTTGTAGTAGAGCAGGATTAGTTGAAAAAGGGAAAAAGTATTTCAAATCAATGACACAAGAACATGGAATTGTTCCAGTTTCTGATCATTATAGTTGCATGATTGATCTATTGAGTAGAGCTGGATATCTTGAAGAAGCTAAATGTTTTATAAATGATATGCCTTTTTCCCCTGATGCATTTGGATTATCTACATTACTTAGTTCATGTAGATCTCATGGGAATTTTGAAATCGGTAAATGGGCTTCAAAGTGTTTACAAGAATTAGAGCCTCAGAATCCTGCAAGTTATGTGTTGTTATCAGAAATGTATGCTGCTAAAGGGATATGGGGTGAGGTGGCTAATTTAAAAAGTGAAATGAGAGATAAAGATATAAGAAAAACACCAGGGTTTAGTTGGATTAAATATAAAAACAAAGTGCATGTGTTTTCAGCTGATGATAGATCGAGTCCTTATTTAGATAGGATTTATAATGAGCTTGAGAAGTTAAACATTAAGATGATAGAAGAAGGGTATGTTCCTGATGTAAGATTTGCTCTTCATAATGTGGAAGAGAGTGAGAAAATAAGAATGCTTAATCATCATAGTGAGAAACTTGCTATTGCTTTTGGGTTGATTTTTATTCCTAAGGGTATGATTATTAGAGTTGTTAAAAACTTGAGGGTATGTGGGGATTGTCATAATGCAACTAAGTTAATTTCAAAGATCACAAAGAGAGAGATTCTTGTGAGAGATTTAGTTCGGTTCCATTTGTTTAAAGATGGAAAGTGTTCTTGTGGAGATTTTTGGTGATGATTTGTTTTCATCATACATGTGTTTTAATGGAAGTAAGTAATTTGATTTTGTTTTGTGTGTTTGGTTGGATGGAATGGAATGGAATCAAATCACTAAGGAATGGAATGAGATGAGACTTTACCATATATTGTTTTAATAGTATTCTATATATTGTTTAGGGAAAATTGAAAAAGTTAGCAACTTTACTCTTGATGCACATATGGGCAATGCATTTTCTTTTCTCCATAATTGTTGCGGTTTGCATCTATAAAATTATGGTTAAAAATTAAGAAGTTAAAGATGATTCCACCCATGATATCTTAATATATCAACTTATCTATAAAATTATGATATGTTAATATATCAACTTATAATTGTGGCTCAAAATAAAAATTTGTTAGCAAATTTGGAAACTAGTTTATTTTGATAGTATTTTTTCGATCCCCATCTAATATGTTATAATCATGATCTTGAAAAACAATTATAACTAAAATCAGATATTCACAACTTTACCTAATTATGAGATTATATTTGACTAAACTGGGGAATTTATCTATTAAATTAAAATATATTCTTCTGAAAATGAAGTTTTCATTTTAGTGTATATAAAGTAAAAAAAAAAAATGTTAATTTCGAGAAAAACCTTATATGTTGTTTGGTTCACAGAATGTTTATGAAGGAATTAGAATAAGAATTAGAAAATGAATGTCATGAATTTGAATCCAATTTCATATATTGTTTGGTTGGCAGGAAATGGAATTGAAATTAATTCCAGATTCTATTTGGTTGGCAAAAAATAGAATTAGAATCCATGTAAAATGACAGAATTCCAATTCCATCACACAAAATTGAACCAAGCACTGGAAGTGGAATTGGAATCATTTCCCCCCCGAATTCCATTACATTCCAGCGAACCAAACACACTCTTACATTTTGACATTTTTGTAAGGCCCTTAAATGATTTACAATCATCTTATTTCCTCAATTTCCTCTCATTTCATTCTTTAAAAAACTAGAGAACAGGGTGTTAATTCGATTGGATGGACTTTCTAATTCTTTATTATTATTATTTTTTGACAAATATCATTTTTATCAATTTGTATTTTAAAAGATAAAAGATAAAAAATACTTTTTTTTCCACATTTTTATTTTTTATTTTTATTTTTTATTTGGAATTTAGGTTTTTTATTAGATTATAAATTTCATTATTTTTATGTAGACTTTGAAGGTCCACATCTTTTTTGCAACATGAAAAAAAGGAATACAATGAGCCTTCATGGAGAGTACCAAGAGCCTTACAACAATTTACCCACCAAAGACTAGATTTTAATTCATAGATGATATATGCTTAAGAAACAGTAAAATATCATATTTGTCCAACCTAAAATCTAAATATTATATATATCCTTAGTAAGTTATCAAAATATCATATTTACCTAAATTTGTTTTTTAAACATTTTTAATCATTTTAAATTCTTATTTTTATATATTGACTACTATACCCTTATTATAAAGCTAAGTTTATTATAATATCACTTATACCCTTAATAAATTGTCAAAATATCATATTTATCCAAACTATTATTTTAATCAATTTTACTAAAACATAAATATTAATTCAACAAATTAACATAAGAAGCCTAATTGTAAATGCATGACAACAGTGGGTAGATTCTAATTTGACGTAACCAATTTTATCACCCATGATTTCTCTTGCATATAGGGCGTGTTCAGCAGAACTAGCTGGTAGCTTGTAGCAGGTAGCGGACAGCTTGTAGCTTGTAGCGTTTTGTTAAACGCTACATGAAGTAGCATTTGGATTTGGAGCGTTTTGATTAAACTAAACGCTAGAAGCTTGTAGTGTCAAACGAGGCTTTCTGTTTTAAACGAAACGTTTTGTCAAACGCTAGAAGCTAGAAGCTCTCAAACGTTCCGTGCCGAACACGCCCATAATGTTAAAAACTATTATCTTTTCAAGAAAAATATTTCAAACCAAATTTACTAAGACAAAGAGAATGCTTTAATTAAAAAAAACTATGGATAGATGGATAAGTTTATAACAAAATAAGCTATAGTCAGAAACAAAACATGTAATTTACTGTTACGTGGAAGTACGATTCCTATGAAGACAACAGATGCATTACCAATATTTTATATTAACCTCATACCAACGATTGAGACCGATAAAACGAACATATAAATAACCAAATTGAATAGGTAAAACATTTCTCTATTTATTGTTTTTCATCAAAGAAGGTATCAACAAAAAAAAGTAGTATATTGGATCATGAAACTGGAGTAGATGCCAATAAAACAATAAAAGAAACACTACTTAAATAGCAATCATCTCTATCAATTTGTGAATAGTATCAACCTGTAACAAGTCATCATAATCTACACATATCTAAAGAATTGACAACTTATTGTATATAACTACCACCCTGCTGCCGCAAGTTAATGATATTAGTACCTTGATTAAGAATAATAATCACTTGCTTTTGAGAAATCCACGGCTTACTCTCAAGTATTACCTTAAGCACTTCCCAAGCATGTTTCCTTGGCAAAAAATAGTAAGGACTTAATGGAATATTCTCGTATCCTGGAATCACTTGGTCTGATGCAAGACCGATGTTTTTCTTCATCTAGATGAACTTCAACACTAACCTTGGTTTCTCCATCGACTTCACAACAACTCCTAGTAAAACACAGTACACCACGATTCCAAAATCGTTGATGATGAAATCACTAAAACAAAATTCCAAAATCATTGATGATGAAATCAGTAAAACACAATTCTATTACCTTTCGGAATTGAATTCGGTGATGAGGAAATAGAAACGATTCCAAAACACGAAGTCGTTGAAGATGAAATTACATGTGGAATCCGAATCAGATGAGGAAATCAACATTGATTCAAAAATGGAAGAACATCGACAACAATGCCTTGGTGGAATCGAAGTTATTGATGAGGAAATCTGTAACATCCCAAAAATTCCAACAAAATTAAAACTTCCAAAACGACCAATTTATTAATAAAAGTGTTTACAAACTATTATTTTCAAAACATTAATAAAAAATCAGAGTCTTCCAGGATCCAATCAGTTGTAAACCAATGATGTGTACGGTTACGCCATCGCCTTGCCACGGTCCACTGAAGTACTTGAAACCATAAACCAAAACTATCAGCACGAAGCTTAGTGAGTTCCCCCAAAATACCAACACACAAATAAATAACATATTCAAAATAACAACATACTATGAGTCCAATCAACCATCGGGTTAGAATGCCAACATACTATGGGTCCAATCAACCATCGGGTTGGAATGCCAACATACTATGGGTCCAATCAACCATCAGGTTAGAATACCTCAGGCGCCTCAACCATCGGGTTGGAATGCCAACATACTATGGGTCCAATCAACCATCAGGTTAGAATACCCCAGTGAAAGCCTCAGCTACCGACCACACATGTGCACATATAACAGATAATCATATAACAGTCCACAGCCAGTCAAACAGATCTACAGATCACTAAGTATAGCAACATCCTATCTACCAGGATACCGATCTAACAGATCATAACAACATAACAACATCTTATCTACCAGGATACCGATCTAACAGATCATAACAGTATAATAGCATGCATAACAAGATATCAATCCAATGGGCCGTCATTGGTGCCTTCGACCAACAAGTAAAGTGAGGAAGACTCACCTCGCACTGCCGAATCTCATGGAAAGAATCACTAGCTGCTGGCTCGCAAGAATCCACGCCCTATCAATCACAAGATAAATATCCATCAATAATAGGATTCGACCCACACTAAGTGTCCAAACTAGGGTAAAAGACCTTTTTACCCTCTTCATAACTTGCCCCCAAAGCCAAGAACAAAATCAACAATCCAAAAGGCCCAAACATGGCCCAAAACATCCAAAGGTCAACCATGATCAAACTTCTGGTCAAAGTCAAAGTCAACAACCCATGTTGACCAAACACGCCGTGTTGCCCCTTGGACACGCCATTTTCTTCAATCATCCAGATAATCGGGAAAACCCTAGCCAACACGCCGTGTTTGCCCGAGATTCAACAACTTAATACAATAAGCTGTTTTCTCCGATACCAAGAGCTCCAAAGCTCAGATCTAGCCTCTCATGTGGTCCAGAAGGATAAAGTTTCAAACTTTATCCATTGGGACTACCCAAAAAGGGTCAAGACTCCATCTATAAGCTTAATAGTGCAAGAGCTTGACCAATAAGCACTTAATCCATAAAGACTTATCCCCAAAACATAGATCTAACTTCATTGAGCTGGAAAACCACGTAAAGTTGCCAACTGTACGTTTATGCATGTTTAAATGAAGCTCTTAAGCTTAAAAGGACTTAATAATTGACTTAATGCATGCATAACACCAAAAATCTCATAAATCTTGCACCTTTATGCTCAAGGATACCAAAACAAACTCAGATCTGAAAGAACAAGCCCTTAAATGACCTAACTCATCCATTAACCCAAAAAGGGACCAAAAGCACAACAAACTAACTATGAAGAGATCTAAATATGTACAAGACAAGATGCAAACTTGATACCTCATAAAGCTTCCCCACATGATGATGAATCTCATGTGGTCCAGAAGGATAAAGTTGCAAACCTTATCCATCGGGACTACCCAAAAAGGGTCAAGACTCCATCTATAAGCTTAATAGTGCAAGAGCTTGACCAATAAGCACTTAATCCATAAAGACTTATCCCCAAAACATAGATCTAACTTCATTGAGCTGGAAAACCACGTAAAGTTGCCAACTGTACGTTTATGCATGTTTAAATGAAGCTCTTAAGCTTAAAAGGACTTAATAATTGACTTAATGCATGCATAACACCAAAAATCTCATAAATCTTGCACCTTTATGCTCAAGGATACCAAAACAAACTCAGATCTGAAAGAACAAGCCCTTAAATGACCTAACTCATCCATTAACCCAAAAAGGGACCAAAAGCACAACAAACTAACTATGAA